GCAGCTGCAGCAGCGACAACTACATCAGGAGCAACAGTTGCAGCAACAGCGCCTACAGCAACAGCACCAACAGCAACTTCTTTGGCAGCAGCCGGGTCTGCACCACCATCCGCAGCTGCAGCAACTGCGCGAGCATCAAGTGCGGCAGCAAGAGCGCGAGCTGCAGCACCAACAACAGTACCGGTTGCAGCAGCAGCTACTGCTTCAGCTGCAACAGCCGGCTTTGTTGCAACACCCAGCATACTACCTGCAGGGTAACCAGCAAGCCTGTACGCAGCACCAGTTCCAGCAACAGCAGTACGCGCAGCAGCTGCAGCAGCAACCTCTGCAATTGCAGCAGCAACAGCACATGGCGCAAACGTCGGCGTGGCTCGGTGCATTAGAAAGGCCGGACTGGCCTGTGACGCCGCCCGTGTCAGCCGCTGCCGCGGCAGCAGCAGTAACAGCAGCTGCTGCAGCAGCAACCGGCGGCGGAGTCACACTGGGCTGCGACTGTGTGGCATGCCGCGGCAGCAGCGGCCGCAGCAGCTGCTGCCTTCGGGGTCTGAAAGCCAGGCTGGAGGCACTGAATCTTGGGGTGGATCCTAGGGAGCTGAAGATCAACTCCAGGATCGGCAGCGGCGCATCAGGGACTGTTTTAAAGGCTGTATGGAGAGGCTGCGATGTGGCAGTGAAAGTGCTGCCGATGGTGCAGCAGCAGCTGTTGCAGCAGGAGCAGCAGCAGCAGCAGCAAGGAAGAAGCGCATCCGCCGCCGCTGCTGCGGCAGCAGCAGCAGCGGCGCGAGAGCTGCAGATTATGAAGCGGCTCAGGTGCCCGAACCTCGTGCTTTTGATGGGGGCATGTGCGCTCGATACTGATGCTGTGTGCAGCAGCAGCAGCAGCATTAGCAGCGGCAGAAACAGCAGCAGCGGTTCTTTGAGTTCGAACAGCGCAGCGGAGCTGCTAGCAGCAAGCGGCTGTTGTGGTCCGGGGCTCGCAGTGGTGATGGAGTTGTGTGCTGGGGGCAGTCTGTTTGGGTTGCTCCACGGGAAGCCAGAGGATGCACTTGCTGCTGTTGCTGCTAAAGCCCCTGCAGCTGCTCCGGCGGCTGCGCCTGCTGTTGCTCCTGCGGCTGATGCTTCTGTACCTGCTGGCGGTGCTGCTGTTCCATCTGTTGCTGTTGTCATGTCTGAAGCACCGCACGACAACTCGTTGTCAGCTCCCCAAAGCCGCAAGCTCGGCGGTACGACAGGAGCAGCAGCAACTAAAGCTGCAGTAGCGGAGACAGCGGATGCAACAGCAAACATTTCAACGGCTACCGCAACGCATGAAACCTCCCAAGGCCTGCACCAAGACTCTCCGCAGCAGCAACGGCACTTTA